CGTGCGTGCGTGCGTGCTGTGTGTGTGTGTGTGTGTGTGTGTGTGTGTGTGTGTGTGTGTGTGTGTGTGCGTGCGTGCGTGTGAGTGTGTGCGCGTGATAGAGAGAGAAGGGGAACGAACCGTGTAAAAACGAACGCACCCTCTCATGCGTAATCTAGTTACTGTGTTTCGAACTTGTGCATTGATCTTTTGGCCGAGCTCTCACGAATACTAATCTCGGTAGAACGTGACACATAAAGTATTTACGCGCGCGTGTATCTTGGGGCAGATGCAAGCCAAGTCCGACTTCCCGCTCATTTCCGCGCCGTAATGCATGTTATAGTGCTGCTATAAGCCGATTTGCTCACTCAATCTTTCATGCGCAGCTACGCGCGCTCTGAATTTTATGCAGGGCCTAATTTGCATTTTCGCGCCGTTATTGCGAGATCTCGTCAGAGCTTCATCATTGGGAGTTAGCATGACATACTATACTGCTTGCAGCAGCAGGACTGTCTGTGTGAAATTCGGGATCTATTATTAGGCCAAAACAAAATATATGTGTGGTTACCGTTACATGCCGGAAAAAAATAGGGTAGGTAGGTAGGGAAAACATTTTATTTTCTTGAAATATTTTATTTACGAACCATGTCCGAAGGATGTGCGTTGTGTCTTTTGAAGCAGGAACTGTCCAATTCAATTTTTTTACTTAAAAAAAATGGGCAATAAAATGTTTAGGGTAGCTGGAAATAAATAGGGTCGGTCGGGAAACCGTAACCACACCTATATTTTGTTTTGGCCTTATCAGTTATGGGGGATTTTTTTTAAAGTTTATATTATGTATCTATTCTCTGCCAATGTCATGTTTAGTGTGTGACGTGAACTTTAAAACGTGTAACGGTTGTTTTATGTAGCTTTTATAGGCGCTAGCTTTTTCCGCACTTGCCCATGAATAAGGTGTGCATTGTTGTAACGTTTTTATAGGGCGTATAGATGTGGCGTCGAACAGCCAATATTCTTGAATCGCCACGTTATGAAATTTATGTGATTATGAATCTATAAAGAACAGATGCTATCCAAATATTGATATGCACACGCCAAAAACTGCTTCAGGCTCAAAATGATGCCCTTTAAAAGCACTTTGATTATTGTCATAATTCAGCTTTAATGTCTTTAGTAAAGCAAGATCTAAAATATTTACCCGTTATTATCAAATCGAGTCACCGCGGCAAGTGCTTCATTTTATACAGCTACTAAAATTTCGCTAAGTCTCGGGAGGGTGCGCCTGCGGGGCGGCGGGCCACACCGCTATAGGAAAAAAAACGTGCGCGATTTTTTTTATGGCGAGGTATCTCGTAGAACGGTGGAGCCGTGCGTCACCCCGGGGCGAGTGGCTCTAGCGGAGGCTGAGAGGGCTTCAGCTTCCTGTCTGCAGCGCATGCGTGGCAAGCATTCCCCTCCTCTCTATGACTCACCCGGCAGCGCAAACAGAAATGTGAAATTCTCGCTGAAGCCTGAGAGAGAGCGAGAGAGAGAGAGAGACATGCGCCGGTGGCGATCAATAGCCTGTGGCTAGATACCTCATACATACACGCACGCATATCGGGACGGCCGCGCTAGTGGTTAGAGACCAGCTATTTACCCACACTATGTACGCCCGTCTCTCTCTCTCTCTCTCTCTCTCTCTCTCTCTCTCTCTCTCTCTCTCTCTCTCTCTCTCTCCAGAGCCAAC